CCCCAAAACCCCAAAACCCCAAAACCCCAAAACCCCTCTTATTTAATTATAATTGTTGCTAAAAATGAGTGATCAAATAAGCTTGACTCCAAAGCAAATCCCTGAGACTTTGACAGGAAGTCTTACTTCTTCATTCTCTACCAAGAAGGCCAAGTTCATTTCCCCTCTAGAAATAGTCCTTCAGAAGAATAAGACAAGGAGGTGCACAAATAATGACAATAAGCAGGAATAACAGAAAATAAGAACTATTTCCCTGTCCTTAAACACATTGCTCCAATTGCTAAAGATCCGAAATGTACGTGCAGCTTGAATTCTGAAACATCAGCAACATCTTGTCGATAATCTAAATTCTTTAGATATGAGAATCGAGAGCCAAGAGGATGATGAGAAAATAGAAAGTGTTAAACCTGACACAACGAATTATGATAAGAATTTTGACCAAGAGCAGTCTTATGGGTTATACAAGCCTTCATCCATTGAGTAAGCTATGATATTTATCTGAAGAAAACTCCGGGCAGACTTGCACAAATATTCACTAGATTACACTGATTATAACAAAAGCAATATCTTAGAAAGTTTGAAGTAACAAACGCAGACTTAAGAGAGGGACGATAATTCATAATAAGAAATCCACAGGAATGATAGGAAATAATAAGCGAAGCTTGAAAGGTGGTCTGTCAAGACATTTGACTGATAAATATGATGTGTATAATTTCCTCCCTCAGGAAAGAGATAAAAAGACCTCTTCAATGCTGCCAATTAATAAATCCACTGTAATAACTAAGCTGAGTATCTCAGCAGATTCCACTGCAAATTTGAATAAGGCTTCAGAAAGGCTACCTGTTGTGGATAGTAAGCCTATACATAACTCTAGACTGTTCAATTTTTACCTGAAGTAACACTAAATTTGCAAAAAATAGAAAACGTCCATCGTAAGTTTCACAGATCTGGTTAAAAATATTCAGATTCTAAGAATTATTTAGCCAACTTTTCAAGCTACAGGGACAGAACATAAACCGAAGTATTTCTGTTGATAAAAATGAATTACTTCAAGAGGATCCGATGACAAATATGACTCAAGTAAATGATTCTGGAATGATAATATCTACTTGAGGTTCGCTAGTACCCCTAACTTTAGGCTCTATATACAAATCAACCAAAAAGGAAGTTAAAAATATACGAAAATGATTAGAAAAGATCGTAAAATCAAGCATTAAGCAAAGAATGAAGTTATCAAGGCCAGCTTTAAATTCTTACGTAAAGTTTAAGAAGAATAATCCTGATCTCCCTGATCGCACAAAGAAACCTTCAGGTAAGGCTCTGCTATATTTGGATTACTAAATCTTAAATTGGTGTAGAAGAGCAAGAAAGTAACTTTAAACCTACATTTATTCCTTCCTTACAGACTAAGCCAGCTACTATGCACCAGAAGTCATGGAAGATCCTTCCTGGAAGAGGGAAGGGTATAGCTGAGCTCAAGAAGGATGACCATGAAGGCTCTCCACAAATGAAGGAAACTAACCCTGAGGAGTTCCTAAATCTGATAGCTAAGCAAACAGGCCATTATAGCTATGAAGCGAAGAAGGTATCGATTATATCAGTTTTTTACCTCTATTCTATCAAATGTTATATAAAGCGAGTATGCAATCTTGTTTAGCAACCAAATATGAACCAATCAAAGCGTTTAAAGACAAAGAGCTCAAAGCCTAAGTTTATAGCTTCTAATGCCCAATTGCCAAAGACATTAAAGAAGGTAGGAAGCTTAAACGAAGACCTGATGCATGTTACTATGAACGGAGGAGATTAATTAGTTATCTACTAAATTTGTACTTAAATCAATTGGTATATTATGATGACTGATAAATTTCATCTGTTTCAACTCTTGTCTTAATAGAGGGGTTTTGGGGTTTTGGGGTTTTGGGG